AAATGGAAAAATTATTGTTATCATTAATTAATAGTGTGAAGATAGTGAACTTTTTAAATAAAATTAATTGGTGCAAAGTGTCGGTAGCGGCTGACACACCATGTGACATTTACTACATACATACATACATACATACTAGTTATGTCATTTATTATTCTAGTCGAGGTCACCTCTTTTAGCCTTAAACCTTAAATGGGCTGTCTGCAAAACTAGCTGCAGTTGTTTTTTCTTGGGTCTAAATGGTAAATTCAACCGGTCAACCTTTTCTTTTTGCATAGATTTTCGAGAATATACATACATAGTTACATACATACATGTTCTTGAAAATCATGTGAATTTATTTATCTAACTGAGAGGAGGATAAATGTGGAATTGAAGATTGGGCTGAGTGTATGCGTTTGTTTTCAGGTCGAATGGGAGTAATGAAAAGGCTTTGAATGAGCATGCGGTGGATGATCCTGATGAAGTTGCGAGAATCGTACAAATGTGAGGCCTCTGTTTTCTTTAAGCTCTTGCCCAATTTAATCTGTCACTTTTTTTTTTTTTTGTGCACGTATAAGGTATAATTATAATTATAAATATTTAATCTTGTTTTATTAAAGAACACCAACTAACTCAACACAATTAATGTGTTAGATTTGGATCTAAGAGAGTACAATGCTGGTACAAAAGACAAAATTATGTCAGTCATTCCTATTTCACCACATGATTTATTATAAAAATTAGTTTAACTAAAAGATGAATTGCATTTATCATATTCTTTCATATATACATATTTATTAACTTACAGATGAGAGAACATGTATTAGATGTACTAGTAATTTCCACCATCTTTTAAGGAAGTGCTTGCACATTGCAAGTTTGTGCATTTAGTAGAAGGATTTGGAACTTCACTTGTCTAACTGTGCATTAACTGACATACCATGCGAGGGTTCAGTAGCAGTTGCTTTTGTTGTGGTCTTCAAATTGAATGTCACGTTGTTTTTGTGTGTCCCCACTCACATGCCATAATTATTTCAATTTTTTTTTTCTTAATAATTATTGAATTTTCGGGGTGGGTGGTGTGGAGGTTGGGTTTCTAACATGTTTACATAGCTTTTTAGTTTACTTTTTTCGGTTTTTCACTCTTTTCTTTTTTGTTGTTGATTAAAAAAGAAAAATAGCATTCAGTAACATTGATTGATATTCCAATATGAATGGGGGAGGATGATGTTGTTGCTTGTGGGTAGTTATTATTCTTCATTCACATGACACTACTGTTGGTAGCTAGATCCGTGTTTTCCGCTAATCAGTTGTTTAATTTGTGTTCTTAATTATAATATACATATTTTAATTTAACATTTTTATGTATATATGTACAGATGTTGGACTTTTTATGCTTGCTTTATTGCTCCAACCCCATATAAAGTCATAGATTGTGTTTCATCGTGTGCTTTTGACTTACTTTAATTTGATTGTTGCCGCCAAAAAAACACAAATTTTAGTTTGATTTGGGTTATGCACATATACACAAATTTTAGTTTGATTTGGTTTATGCACATGTACACTTTATACACCTAGTAATTTGATATACTGTGTTTTAAGAATGATGCATGACATGAATGAAGGTTGACATGCGAAATGCTAATCAATG